ACAAAATAATCTGTATACCTTTGGTGCACGAACTTTTTCTAATTCATTAAGATCATGACATAATCTAACATAACGTAAATGAAATGGATTAGCACGATTTTCTTCAAATTGTCGAACTATTTTATCTGACATCCATTCAACTTGTGAACGAGCAAATTCTATAACTTGAAAACTAAAATTATTTAATAAAGCTAATGAATATGCAAATAAACCAGATTGTTCATTCCGCCATAATTGTTCCTATAGAAGAAAAGAAATAAGATTTTTGTTTGTTTTTTTCTCTTTATTAAAATTATTACTAAAAGAAGAGCTAATTCAAGAACACGACCAGCTGTATCAACACAAATTAAAACATTTCCATCACGTCGCATTGTTTCCAAAATAGTTGCTGTTAAATAGAAGAGAACTAATCAAAATAAATTCTTCGAATATTTTTATTCATACTTAATAATTGTGCATCTTTTGTTTTTCGTTGTCCTTGAGAATATTTTGTATTCAATGCATCGGTTATTAATAATGTTGGTCGACTAATTTTTGTTAAATTTGAACTATTTAAATGTCTGAACAAACAAAACAAAACGAATATTCGAAAAAAAAACAAAACAAAATTACTATAGATTTCTTTTACCGTTCCTTTTTATGATTATAATCAACTGCATAAACAATTTCTTCTTCACCTTCTTTAGAAATTTTCCATATAGCTCCACCAATCATATGTCCAGCTGGTAATGGAGTTATTGTTAAACCTTGTCCATTGCCTTTAAATGCAAAAATAAAATAACAGTTACGCAAAAAAAAGAATTTTAATAAACCTTCAAGTGGTATTGATTGATCATATTTAAGTTGAACAAAAAGATCAAATGCTGCATCAACATGATCAAGTGTAAATAATGTAAAATCTTCACTATTCGAACGACTTTGATGTAAATCATACATAAACATTTGTCCCATTTTATAGACTGGTATTGTTGCATAAACAGGACATTTTAATCCACAATGTCCAACAAGATAAGGTAAAGCACCAAGATGATATATATCTGGATAAGTAATTAATACAGCATCAATTGATTTAATATGACTAAAAATAAAATATTGAAAAGCTATGATACGAATATAAAAATATGAGAAGTTTTGTAATCGAAAATTATCATCGAACTTTTCTTTTTTTTTTTGTCTTTTTTGTAAATTGACTGATTTTAGATATTTGAAATCAATTTGCAAATATAAAAAGTCGAATTATTTTGATTTTCATATAAATATATCAGCAGAGAAGTTGAATATTATAATACAAAATGAAAACCTACCGTTTATATTCTTCGATAATTTCAGGTGAAAAATTTTCATCCCAACCACAATCAAGTAAAAATCGAAAATCGTCTGTTTGTAAAAGATAAGCCAAAGCTCCTTCATTATATGCACCGGTAATGACTTGCAATTTTAGAATAGAAGCCATTTACAACAAAACAAAAACAACAAATTGATGATCTGGAAATAGGTAGAATGACTTTCCTTAGAAGATTTCTCTCATTATTATTATTATTATCAGAATAAAAAAAAAGATTTCTATATCAAATTCTTTTCGTTTTTCTTTTTTATCTTCTTATTTTTATTGATGTACTTTGTTTTTCAATTAATCGGAATACAAAAACAAAAAAGCATCAATTTTTCTTTTTTTTTTATGATGATTGTTTAGCTTTTTTCATGTGTTCCAATAATTGATCGTGAGCTTGTGTTTCATCACCAAAATCACGAACAACACAACAACTACATCGAACTACTTTGCGAGCTTTGCCATCTTTATCTAATTTGCATAAGCCAGCCCATTCACCTAATTTTTTATTATCATCAACACGTAATAAATTGATGTTATGTTCAGCACATAAAGCTTCAATTAATTTAACATAGTTCTGTTCATCACAATTCGAAGCTAAAACACAAAGATGTGCTTCACGTCGATCTAATGCTTTGACCGATTCTATAAACACAGAAAAAAAAGATTTATTTCAAGATAAAAAAATACAATCAAATTTCTTACCTCGTAAACCTCGTGCAAGACCATCATTACGTGCGGCTGATTTAAGGACTTCTTGTAACGACTTATTCAAGTCGACTTCATCCGAGCCGCGTGGGGTCTCGTCCATCTCGGTGTCCGACATAATGATAGTAACGAAGTGTAATAATCTATAAATATAGAATGAAAATAATATTGAATAGTATCTACTTGAACAATATTCGATGTAAAATAAAATGAAAAATATCTTCTTAATATCTATCTTTCACTGACTTTCAATATACTGGAAATAAATAAACACAGTTATAGAATAAATGGATAAAATCCACTCAATATCATATCCTCTCCATTTAGTATTATGTATATATATTCGTTGAATTATAGTTTTTTATTATGATTTATTTGTAATATATTCATAAAATATTTAATAATAATATAGAGGTTTTATAAATTTAAATTAAATGAAAAAATTATAGAGGTCGCCACATTACTGTCGTATGTTATAGATGTACTGATGAATATAATTAAACAAGTTAATAGTTAATAATTTATTTGTCAAATATTTGCAAATCCTGGTCACTATTGACTTTGAAATCTATTATTTTTGTCATGTCACATGATTTGATGAAAGACGATGCGAAAAGATGTAATATCTTAGGTTACTGTGTGAGGTTAATAACAGAAATTACTCTTGTTTCGTTGATATCTCTAGGAAGTTTCTTGGAAAGTACCGTATTTTCAAAGCAATGGTTTCGATTACTTTAACGATGATTACGGTAATTTCCAAACGTGCTTCAACAATTAATTTTTCTTTTTTTTTACTTCATCTGTTTAACATATTATTAAACCAATTTTATTTTATTAAATTTAAATAAATATTTTTATTTATCTTGATTTTTTTTAAATTAATTTTCCATTTATTTTTGGAACTGAACATTGAAATTTTCCTGTGTTGCCTTTTTTAACTCCTATATCGATTAAACGTTCACTAAAACAAACTTTTTCTTCATCAAGAATAATATGACATTGAGTTTTAATATTTGCTACACAATATATATATATATATATGCATTGTCGTTCATTAATTCATTAATAAGTACACTGTACACATCTCTCAAGCTATTTTGATGATGATCTTATAAGAATCAAGTTAGAATTAGCTTCGACTCTTAAGGTAGAACTCATTGGATGACTCCCAGTCAGATGTACGTCCTATCTGACACGTTCTGGTATTGGCCGACTAATTTAATTAATCAAAACTGATTTAGAACTCGTTACAATGACTAAACTTATGATAAGTCTTATGTCAAGATTATGATTAATTAATTTTGAAAAAATATGGGTTTTTTTTCAGAAAAGAAAGATATTTTGTCAATCACTTCCGAAGTAGACGACCCTCGTTTTTCTATTATATTCAATTATCTTTAATTATTACAAGTTAGAAAAAGCTATCGACAAAAAGAATGAACTAAGAGTATCGTATTAGAATCTCTATTAGCGTTAATTAATATTAATTCTTATTTATAGTTACTACTATTCAAATTAAACTTAACTCTTTGAGATTATTTGACATTAGAATTAATTAATGCTAAAACGTTACCATTAAACTAACAACACATCAGTTCTCTTACTACGAATGCCATTTCCGAATATAGAAAATCCTTTTTTTGGTTTGAGAAAATGATTCTCAGGATGTGGATGTGTTTGAAGTGAAGACAGTCATACTCACATTCTCCGAGACATAAACGAAAAAAGAAGTGTGTCAAAAACGTAAGAGCGTTACGTCATCCTTATCCAAGTAATACGTACGGTATTCCATACGACTCTGGTAGACATACAGTTAAAAGTGCACGGTAATTAAAACTGATCCTTGAAAAAGACTGTAAAAATTTTCTTGCTTTCAGTCTTTGTCTAGAGAAGCTAAAGCGAATTGCATAAAAAAACAATCAAACCATATTTTATTATGTCTTAAAAGATGCACAATTATTTTGTTTTAATTTTATTAATTGTTAAGAAAAATATTATAGTCAAAGAAAGAAGTTAAAGTCATTCATTTTGACATTGAGATCCATATAGCCATATTGGAAATAAACATGAATAATAATATAAAAAGAAAGACGAAATAATTTAAAGCGCTACATCTAGCTTCAATGTCTTTTTTCTTTTTGCCTTTCGCTTTATCTTTATTAAAATCAGCTTGACATGATTCGCATCTGTTGCAGAAGTTACATTTTGATTTTGCTGTTTCGTTAATGGTTACACCTGTTATTGTTTCAGTTGGATTTGCTTTGTTAGATTCTATATCTTCACCGGAAATATCCTGTTTCTTATCACTGTTTTCAACTTTATTATTACGTTTTTGAAGACATACAGTAAATAGATTCTGGCAAGAAATACATTTCATTTTTTGAGTATTTGTTGCTTGTATACTTCTTATATCATCAAACTTCTTAATATCACCATTTTCAATAATAACATCCTTATTTTTATCTGTCTTACCATCTTCTTTTGATGATGGAAAGCAACAAAAAAAAACTCTTTGTAATTGTTCACAAAAAGCGTAAATTGGCTTTGGCATTTCCGAAGTTATTGTAAAATGATTACATATCATAAACCATACCATTGATATTAATGTAAAACAAATTGAGAGTACAAAATATAATGTAATCATCATTATATATTCAGATTGTTGTGGAAATAAATTAGAAAAACTTAATGAATAAACAGAATATGTCATAAAACATGTCATACCTAAAATATTTATTTTATAAATTCTATTTAGTATTTAAGAAAAGAAAATATTCTTACATAGACCAATTTGTGATCCAAATGGTAATGTATATGCTAATAAAGTAACACAATTTAAGATTAAACATGCAAATATACCATTCATAATAAAAAATAATGGTTTTCTTTCTAAATATAATTGTATTGATATTATATCATTATAAGTATCTTCAAATGGTACTCTATCTTCTGCTCGAATTACAGTCATATCTGTTCCATTTAATTCCCATAAAGGATGTTCAATATAATTATCAAGATCAATGACTACACTATCATTTTCTTTATATACAATTCTATTATATCCTTGACTCCATGATGTTAAATTGATACTGCACATTTGTTTATCAAATGGAAACTTTTGAACCATGAAGTTGCACCTTGTTTTTACTGATAATGCTGGTAATATCATATACACTTCACCCGTATATATGACAGATGCTAAACTATAATCACTCACTGTGAGATAACCATTTGCATCTGCTGAATTCAATACCATTGTATCTGGTATCCATAAACTTTTAACCGATAACATAACTACATTAATATTATTATTTGAAGCATTTGGTGTCCATGATAATCGATCATCGAGCCATGATTGTGAAATAAATGAAGTTGATGTCATTATTTGTTGTTTTTCATCTATAGATACAATTTGTTGTAGTGCAGCAGTAATTTCAACAGATACTTGATTAGCTGGTCTTATAGTTTTTTCATATCCATTTAGTAATGTTTTTATTAGTGTTTGTTCAGTTAATTGTGAAGCTGGTAGTGTTCCACAATTACAAAAGTAGAATAAATAGTATACGAAGATAATAAAAGTTAGTAATTTTATCATTTTGAGATTCTTTATTTCAATATGACCGTTCAAAAATACTTGTTAATCGTTGTTACTAAAATATAGTATTTATTTTACAGATGCTTTGTTTACGTGATTGAACGAGATAGTTGTGGAGTGTAGGATAGGTGAATATTCATGTCCTTTCACTGCAACATTGCTCTATTCTATATTCATCAACATGAACCTTGAAAAATATGATCGCTTCTCCTTAAAGGATTTTAAGTTCCAGTCAATGTGATATAAATAGTTTTCATCGTGTTCGCTAGATTGTTCAATCTAGCGAACACGATGAAAATTATTCAGGACAACAAGTCAGAATATATACCAGTCAAAAAATTATGTTGTGTGTGAGAGAGAGAAGAGAACATTAACTCTAATATCCACATCCTTATCATCTATTTAATTTCTTGAGTATGTTTACTGAAAATAAGAAAAGAATCGACTTATGAAGTTCAGATGACATAAGTGTCGGTTGTTCATGAAAATCATGGTAGTGAAATAAGAACGCGCCCGTATTAATAGAAATTTTGAGCTTGAGACAAAACCTAAAATCGAGCGAACTACTCTAATCTGGGTTCAGATTTGCATAGAACCGAACGAAATCAAACCTCCGAAGTTTGGTTTAAGTCTACAAAACATTAGTAAAAAAGACTGAACTTCACTGTTTCTAGAACAACTGTCTCTCTCTCTCTACGAGAAGAACTTTACCGTGCTAAGCAGACAAATGTTGAGTATTAAAAAAGCATATATCTATTAAAAAAAAATTTTAAAAATGATTGTAAAAAACAAAAAAAACAAACTAGTAATGGAAGAAGAAACCTTTCTGATCGCTCTTTTGTTTGCACAGAGAGATGTTTTTTCTCGCATATTCAGCCTTGACTTGAAATAAATTATATTTTTTGTGAAGCAAAAAAAACAAATTCAATCGACATTGATCCAGATTTTCTCCTGTTAAATTGATTCGAATGTTTGAAGCCATGAATAGTTCGACTTGTAACTAAGAATTATCGCTGACAGAATGCATAAAGAAATCTCATTAGGTAGTCATAAGTTTTATGTATATATTTGTCTATGAAAATACATTATTTTATGTCATGCTCAAAGTTTCATTTTACGTTATTAAAAGTGAAAAGGATCGTCCACAACGAAGAAATGTCAAATTAAAATGTTGATTTCTATATATCGAACCTTTCATAATTCGTATGATTCAATCACTTTGGTGACGTCGGATGCTACTTGCTCTCTGTAGACTACAAGATTTCCAAAATAATGTTTTGTTTGATCACTGCCAAACAAGACGGAGTGGATATCGCTGTAGGCTCCCTATGCCCAAACCTTCCACTTTCATATCCATTCCCTCGAGATAAAAGTTGTGATAAGCTATTAAACACCAATGAAG